AGGAGAGGAATCACTCCTCCGGCAGTCAACCACAGCACGTGCTGGGCTGCATGCTCAGTTTTTTTCTAATAACAAGAAGCCACATGTTCAAAAAAGTAAAAATTACAGCCCAAAGCAGAGCAGTTCCCGTTTCAACCCAGCCTTCAGCCGCATCCCAGAGAGGATTTTCATCCTGAGCTAGGCTGTCCCATGGAGAAGGGAGAAGAAAGAGCAAGGCACAGCCAACCTCCCATCGGCACATCTGCTGGCAGGGGAATGCACGGACAAAATGGATAAATAAAAATGTAAAAAAATGGGGACTAGTTAGTTTTCTGTTCTCCTTGTGCAAAAGGATTTTGTTGAAGTGTTTTCTACTTCTGGCAACAACCAAAGTTAGATATTTCGGCTGGGGCAGGCAGGAGGGCTGGGGACCCTCTGCTTGCCTCGGCGGCAGCACCAGCTCCTCATCCCGGCTGGCTCAGAGCCCAACCTGCCTCCACCATCGGTGACTGCCCTGTCCCACCGCAGCCCCCAGATGCCAACCAGCTGTGCTGGCACCGCAGAGCAGGTCCCAGAGCTGCCACCCCACCACAGGGGACCAGGCCTTCCTCTCCCAGCCTGCGGGGTGGTTTCCAGCAGCTTGGAAAGCCGGACCCGCAGGGCACCCAGCCCTCCACCTTGTCCTGGCAGGTTCACACCACCCCAAGGCACCTGGGTTTTCCCTAATTGCTGCCTGCATTTCCTCAGAACTCCTTTTCGCTCCCCACAGCTCCCTGCTGGGGACACAGAGCTGCCTCCATGGATCTCCGCAAACATTTTATTTCCACCTTTCACTTGCACCTCTCGCCGCTTCTGCTCATTTGCTTTGTAAGCAGACCTTTCCCCAAACCCACCCAACTGCACCCCTCATTACCCTCTCTTACTGTTATTTCAGTTCTGCGAACGTTAATGTCCTCCGAACACCATCATCTGGGGGCACTTGCTATAAATTCACAAAAATCAGGGGTGGGGCAAATTCAAGCCAGAAGGACCAAGGGTCTCAGCAGGGAGGGAGGGAGAAGGCTTGGTTTGGGCAGCAGGATCTAACTGGAGGCTGGTTGCAGGCTGCTCCATGCAGCGCTGGACCCCAGGACAGCCTGGAGACGTGCGAGTCCCTGCCTGAGACCCGGGTGTCCAGGGGAGCAAAGGGGGTCGGGTCCCACCAGCCCCGCTCCTCCCAGCTGCGGGTGTGCAGGGCGTCACGGGAGGAGTCCTGGGGGCTGGAGCTATTGCTAAGGGCTGGGGGTGCAAACTCCGGCTGGGGCCGTGCAGCAGACAGATGGACAGACAGACAGATGGGTGCATGCAGGGAGCTTGCTGGGTCTGAAGTCAGAGCAAGGCGGGGAGCATGTGTGCATGTGCATGCAATGGCAGGAGCCAGGCGTGCGGGAGGAGAAGAGTTCAGGCAGCAGCACCCGGCACAGGGGCAATGCCAAAAAGCCACCCTGGCCATGCACCACAGATAACCCCCAACCCGCCCTCCTCCGGGGACCAGCCCTACGGGGGGGACACGCAGGGGTCCCAGCACAGGGCTGTACTCACCCACAAACTCGGTGCAAGCCCTGCAGCTCAATGCCGTCTGCCTCCTCATACGTGGCCATGTTTTCCCCCAGCTTGAGGATGCAGTCCGAGAAGCCTTGGTAGATGTTGGTGCAGGCGGTGCCCGATGCCAGCAGCCCAGCCAGGTGCCCTGCCAGACACCGAGGGGGTCGGTGTGAGCACCCAGACCTTTGGGGATGGCCCTGGGCATGGCGAGCTCCCCCTTCCACGCAGGACACACATGGACCTAGTGCCGTCCCTCACCCGTGCCCAGCCCTGCCTGCATTTGCAGAGAGCCTGAAACAGCCGCTCTGCCAGGGCAGGGAGCCAAGGCGGGGGGAGGGGGGGGGCCCCCCCG